AAAATTTGGCGGGGGGGGGGGGGGTGTTTGGTGCGAATATGCCATTCTTTGTGATGATATTCGAAAGTGTGTTTAGTCGGGCCCGCAGACAAGGAACGTCAACATCGGGTCGAGCCTCAATCCCACATTTTGGGTCAAAGAACCAGCCGATGTTGTCTATTTTCTAAGAAAGTATTTCTTATTATTTTGGACTGCCGCATCGTGCTGATTCTATTTCCTACTCGGAAGCATTTTCTTAGTTCCGTCTTTTGATCTCTGAGGACGATCCACGTCTTCAAGCCCTCAAGAGAGGCGGTGGAGAATACCATTAGACCCGTACAGCGGACAGCATGTGGTGGTCCGCGATGTGTGGCAGTACTACACACAGCACAGGGGCGCGGGGGGTGCCGCCAAAATAACCACTCTTCCCCCCCCAAAACAATGCACTGTTCAGCTCCCACCCCCAAAACAATGCACTGTTTAGCTAGGTAAGGGGGTGGGAGGACGGAAGCGTGGGACGCTTCTTTTTGGACACGATCCTCCAGCTACAGTCATTGTTTCTTACGTCTCGGGGGTGTCGCATCATCATGTTTCTTATTTGGACGTTTCTTATCGTGTAGTCGAGATTAAACTGTGTTTCTCAGCCCTTTTTCTTACTTTGCGAAAAACCTTTGTTTGCTCAGGGCCGTTTTATACAGCGCTGTTGTTTCCAAATTTTGGGAATGTTTCCAAGTTTAGGGAACTTTGTGGAGCGAGTTCAAAGGCAAAAAAAGTAGGAAAACTTTCCCAAGACAAATTAATACAACTGAAAGTTTCCGAATTCATCGATGACTTTCAAATTTTTGGATTTGGAAGAAATTGCACCGTATAAAACGACTCATTAAAGAATTTTGTGTGGGCTGTGGCCACGGTAGTCAATTGGATTGGTACGAGCAGACCGGGACGATTGTTGATGTTAAGCCGCCGCCGCCGGCGACAACGACAATAACAACAATGTACTGTGGGATTTGACCTCCTGCTGACGGCGCCAGTGTACTGGGATTTGCCCTTCCTTCAGAATTAAACACCTATGTGCTGTGTGGAAACTAACACTCTTGTCCGACCACAGGTACCTGGTGCAGGTTCTTGCTTTCCGTTATTCTCTGTCTCTTGACTGATTAACGCTTTCTTTCCAAGCCAACTCACAAGATCCCAAGCACACACGATCACCGAATCGTCTGCACACTGGACAGAAGGGCACATGCCTCGGCATAAAGCCCTACTCTAGCATGACGTCATGTCCTAGCATCTGACGACGCCAAATAACCATGGTCAACCACGATGATAACATGTCTACCTCCAAATACCATAACAACACCAACATCATCAACACAAGCTATAATCGATCGTGAACCACGGATATAAGCTGCCGTACGTATGTATGATATCCCCCATGAATCAGCGCTGACTACGGTAGGTTCATAGTAGACTAGTGGTCATCGTGCTTCTAACAGGTGGCGTTTCGCAGAACCATATGTAAACAACTTGAATTTACAGGAAGGGGATTGCACGAAAAAGGCAGGGGACCTTGGGGGGACGAAAAAAAACCCGAAGAAACCAGGGGCCCTCCATATGGAAATTTCGGAACACCCCTGGGCTGCGCTACAATCTTGGTCGCTGGGGAGGGGGGGGGGGGGGGGGGGGGGGCCTGTTTTGCCCCCGGAGAAAAATTTTTGACCAATCCCCCGGGGTTTCAACCTTTTTCCGGGCTTTTTTTCCCGGGCCCCCGCCCCCCCGCGAAAGGGAACCCAAACACAACCCGGGGGGCCCCGTTACCCCCTATTTTGGAAGCCCAGGTCGCCCCCCCCCCCGCACCGGTTTTGCAAACCCGGGGACCCCCCCACGAAAAAGAAGTCCACACCCAAAACGAACTTTTTGGGAAATTCTCCAGGGGAAGGGTCCCAAGGCCCCATTTTTCGAAACCGCCCCGGTTGCCCCCCAAAAAAACCG